ACCACCTGATGTTCTGTGAATGCCACATATGCCTACTCCCCTTCTTCCCTGCTTCCCTTGTTTCTCCGCATCTCCCCTTCCTCCCTCTTCCCCTCCCATCACCGTGTCCCCTGCTTGCCTGCATCCCTTCTCTCCCAGTGCGTCACTTACAATTTTTTGTTGGTTCTAATACTGAATTCGTTACTTACCCTTAGCGTTGGTAGTTACGATAAGTGCGATACTTTCCCGTATAGTTGGCACTAAGTGTAAGTGCGTTACATTCTCTTATCGTTGGTACTAGAAGTAAGTGCGTTACTTACCCTTATCGTTGGCACTATGTCTAAGTGCGTTATTTATATTAGTCATTGGCACTATTAGTAAGTGCATTATTTACCTTATGTTCGTTTGCCTTTTATCAGCTCCCCAACACCCGTTCCACCAGTCGCCCTTCACCCTTGGTCCCACAACTCCCCTTTCCACCCTTACGCCCGCCATTACCGACCAACTTACCGACGTGTGTGCCCCATCTCGCCGCCCCCTCCCTCTGCGTCCCCTCTATCTACACCCCCTCTCTACGCCCCTCTCTACGCCCTCTCTCTATGCCCTCTGCGCGCTCCCTGCAGCAAGCTCTGTTGCAACCAGATCAGTGGCACCCTGCCCACTCTTCTCGGAGGTCTGTTGAAGCTGGAAACCCTGTGAGTGCTCTCTGCTCACACCTGCTCACTCTGCTCACTCTAATCACTCTGCTTCATGGCATGTGAGTGAGTGCTCTCTGTTCCCTCTGCTTCTGCCATGCGAGTGAGTGGTCGCTGGCCAGGCCATCCTGCGAGCATGTATGTTTTCTATTATTTGTTGAATGGATCGTGCTGATGAGAATGGTTTACTCCTGAGGCGCCTCAAAGACCTATGCTGATAGAAGCTCGCTCTCCACTCAAAGTTTACTTGAATCGATTTGAGACAAGGTACCTAGAATGATAATTATATGAACATTTCCTCAGCAACTGAATTGCAGCTTGAATAAGAAATTTGTGGCAATTCGTGTCATGCACGCACTACACAGGGTTGGACTGGGGAAAACCTGTTTTGGTATCCGCTTCTTTCTTCCGGAATAGATTGCTGCCACCAGTATTGTGTTGCCACTGTTCCTTGCTCCAACGTTCCTTTGTTCCCTCGCTCCAGCAACAACTCACAAACAACAATGTTGCGCGGTTGTTTTCCTAAAGAAGAAGTACCATCCAAAGGGAAACTCTTTCCCCCTTTTCACTCAATGTGTTTCTCCTTCTGGCTCTAATCACCTCTCACACCCTCTTTCTCTCCTCTCTTCTCTCAAATGGTCCGTTGTATTAATTCAGCAGGGGTACAGACATGCAGTTCTATCCGTGATAACCTCAAACCCATAAGCCCATCAACTCACCCCTCTTTCCCCCCCCCCCCCCGAGTGACCTTCTAGCCTTCCAGCGTGTGGAGGATGTCCCCCAGGTGCAGCGGCCAGGGATCCGCTGCCATCTGGGGGTGTGCTGCCTGAATCCCAGCCCTGGCCTTGGTGTGCAGGGCGTTCGCCTGGGAGCGCTGGAGGGCCACTGACCAGCGCTGGCTGAAGTGGCAGGCCATCTTCTTGGCGGATTTCGCCAAGGGGCTGGCCCTGAATCGGTTCCTAGCTGCTGCTGTGGCCAGCAGCTTCAGGAACGCCGTCGTGGGGGGCGCGTTTGCCCCATAGGTCTCGACGGCCAGGGCTCAGAACACCACGTGTTCAGTGTGTCGGTAGTAGTCCCTCTCCTTCCGCTTCTGTGCCTCCCTTGCAGCCCAGCCTGGGGGTTTGCGGGCCGTGGGGTCTCGGTTCTGCAGCACAGGGTCAGTGATAGTGGTGTCTGTGATCCAGGTCTCTCCGCTGTCCGGGTCTTGTACAATCACATCTGCCTTCTTCGGGTCATCCGGTGGTGAGTACATCGCATTCTCCAGGTATACCACCAGCTGTGCCTCCCTCGCCATTTTAGCCATGGCGAAGGCCAGCTGGTTGTGTGTGCGTGTCCTGTCGGGGCCTGTGCTGCAGCGGAGTAAGTGGTTGGGTAGGCTGCAGTCGGCTACGAGTTCTCCGCACTCGCACACGGTTGGTACATTCTGTCGGATGCCCATGCGGAAGGCCAGGGCCGCTCGGAACTGACCCGGTGAGAAGCAGAGGTCCGGGGTCAAGGGTAGTGCCTGCAGCCATGCTCCCGCTCCCTCTCCTCTCAGGCTGACTAGGCGGAGTGTGTGGCCCATTTCGGGGGCTGACTGTATTGTGCGTGACTCCTCTCTTAGGGCGTCGGCCTTTGCCGCGTGCACTTCCTGGGAGAGGGCGCGCTGCAGCTGGTCTTGGGACGGGGTTTGCTGCTCCTCCCGTAGGTTTTGTAGCGCCAGCGGTGGCAGTCGCCCCTCCATGTCCTGGATGGTCACGGAGTGCGCTGCAGACGGCTGCAGGGCGTTGCTGTTGGACCCTAGTGGCGCGGTTGCAGGCAGGTCCAGGGAGCGGAGCAGGCGTAGCGCCTCTGTTGTAGATGCCAGGTAGGCCGGTGCTGCTTCAGTTGTGGGGTCCGTAAGGCCCAGTCCGCCTAGGGCTACTGGGAGAGTTGCCTGTCGGAGAAGGAAGTTGAACTCGGCTTCTCGACGGGGCGGTTGAATGCTGGCGGCGGTCAAAGCGGTGTTCAGCAGTTCGGAGCACCATGCATGCCATTCCGAGAGAGGTAGGACGTCTGCTGGGGTGGTGCGCAGCAGGTAGCCGATTCTGCGGCTGATGCAACGGGACAATAGCAGGAGGGCGTGTTGTGGGTGGATGGTCGCCAGAGAGCCCAAGGGTGCCGCCGCGTCTGTAAGGGTGCTGCGGACAAAGTCAGAGCAGAAGCTCTGCGACCCTACAGGGCTTCCCAACACCCGAACCCCGTCGTGGGTGAGGGGAAGACCCTCGGGAAGCGCGTCGCCACTAAGCGGCGTGGAGGACCATGCGGACGACTTCCTAAAGAAAAATCGCCTTGTTTCTCCTTGCAGTTCCGAGAGTGCCACCTTTGCTGCCAGCCGAAGCAGGGATTCCCCTATCGTGATAGGGCGTACCCGCCCCCCTGGTTACGCGAAGGCGATGAGGCAGGATGGTGAGAGTAGTGCTGCAACCTCGGTGGAGAGATTCGTCGAGAGAAGGTGTGTTACGGCGGAGTGCAGGTGCCCTAGTACTTCGATGTTACATAGGGCTGGGTCGCGGTAGTGTTCAAATGTTGACCCTGATGGACCAGCCCCAACTCCGCTGGGGCAGTCCCCGAGGACGTCTGAGAAACTTTCCGTGGTGCACGAAAATTGCGTGGGTGTTTTGTAGGTGTGGACCCATTCGGGCAGCTCAATTTGGGGTTGGGGATGTTTCAATTCCAACTGCTGCAGTGTTGCGATCGTCGCAGGGGCAGCTGGCGAGGGTTGAAGGGCTGCCAACGCTTTTCGCAGGTTACCCCGTTTCACCAACCCCTCCACACGTGAGCAGATTCCCAGGGGGTCATTTTGGTGCTGAGGTGGCTCAGCTTGGTGCAGGGACCCCACGTAGTCATTGTACAGCTGGTTCCAGTGGCCACATCTGAATAGGTGCATCTGTGCTCGCAGCACCTTCCACCTAGAGCTGGACCTCCTGCTAAGTCGTAAGGTGAGACGTGGCAGGAACATGAGGACACGCCACGCTCCCGCGCAGTTTGGCAGTTTAGAGATCCGTAAGAGGGCGGCCAGCATACAGGTGGAGTAATCGCTTAGTATCTGCGGCGGCAGGCGGCGGACGATAGGCAGGTGAGTGGTCGATGTTAGGGTTGAAGAGTCCCAGCTCATCGCGATCTCGAAGAGGTCCTCCCTCGATGCCAGCTGGGACGCTGACAGGGCTTGGTCCGGAGGGGGTTGGGGTCTGTGGTTCTGTCGGCGGCTAGAACCTCTCTCCTGCTGCTGCGCCTGCTCCTCCCCCGCTTCCGCGAGAGGTGAGTCTGGATTGTCAGGTTGCCTCAGATCTGACGGTACATATTCGTCGCCGCTCCCCTCTGAGTTTGTATCACCGATTCTCACTGCTTGCGCTGTCGTTCCTCCTCTCCCCCCGCGTCTAGCGAACGACTGGCGCGTGACTCGTTCCGCCGGCTCCCCCAACCAGATTGGGCTCGGCAACTGGCGGGGCGGTCCCCTTCCTGCTTGGCCTGCGCTCCTCTGCCCTCCGCGCGCTCCTCGTCGCCCGCCTCTCCCCCGCGTGCTTCCCCGTCCGCTCCGCGGGGTAGCTGCCACAGGTTCCGCCTGTTGCGCCTGGGAGATCGGCGTTGTCGGCTCCTCGTGTGCCAGTGGAGCGTCTTGAGCGTTGGCCAATGGATTTCCTTGGCGCTCTGGGCCGCGACTGCACCGCGGAGAGCGATCCTGCTCCCCGTCCGCTTCCTCCTGCACGCCCTGCCGCGAGCGTGCCTGTTGCTCCGCCGGCGTCCGCTGATCAGATCCGCCGCCGCTTCGAGGACCAGCGGCGCGAGTTGGCTCCGCGCGCGGGCAGGTCCTTGTCACCGCAGGAGCCCCCGCGCGCGGGGTCCGTCGCGCGCTCCGGCGCAGAGGCTGTGGCGCACCGGGAGCGTTCGCCTCGCCGTCGCTCATCGGCAGCTCGCGACGATAAGCGGGAGAGCCGCCGCGACGATCGTCACGGTGCGGCTCGTTCGCCGCTGTCGCCTCGTTCGCCTCGTCGCGTGGCGTCGCGGAGCCGGTCCCGTGACCGCCGCTCGCATCGTCATCGTTCGCCCGCTCCCCGTTCATCTCGTCAGCGATCGCCTGCCCGCCAGTCGGCTGGGCATCGGCCCCTAGCTCCGCGTTCGCCCCCTCCTGCAAAGCGCCAACGGCTCTACTCCCCTCATCGCGGGGACCGTTTCCCTGGCCGCCAGCGTCCGCAGGGCCCATCTCGCCTGCAGTCGCCTGTGCGCTCGAACGCAAGTGGGCGTGCTCGTCGTGGGCGACGGGGAGGTGACAGTCGTGGCGGAAAAGCGCGTCCAGCGCCGTCCGCAATGGAGCGCCGTCTTCTGGATAGGCTTGATGACGTGGAGAAAGAGCTTCGTCGCTCGCGTGCGAGGTCGGCGTCACCATCAGCTCCTCGCGCTGCTCCCGTCGTCCCTCTCTCCGCGCTCCTGCCCCACAATCCTTTTGGATCCCCGGCGCGCTCAGAGCGGCCGCTGCCTGCGGGGATGGGCTTCGTGGGCGCTGGTGGCGGGCTGCCGTGGGCTCAGTTTGCTCCGCCGCGTCCTCTTCCTGATCCGCGTGATCTCGCCGTGACGTCTCACCGTGCCCGCGCGTCTGCGTTGCTTCCGCCGATGAAGGAAGTTCCCACGGCGACCCTGGCCCGCCTGTGGTCGCTGGCAGCGTCCCTGCAGAGCCTTGAGCGGATTCTCCAGGAGTCATTTGACTCCATGCCGGTGAGCCCTCCGAGCAGGTTCTCTCAGAAGCCGCGAGCTGATTGCCATGCGGCGGCGTCAGCGCTATTCGCGCTCGTAACGCCACTGCAGGTAGAGCCCTCGCCGGGAGCAACCTCGGCCAGCCAGCTGGCTGACTCGGCCCTGGCTCTGAGGACGCTTGTAGCAGGTCCTGGTACTCCTGTTGACGTTGTTGGCGCCACCGTGTTAGTGGTTGAACACGAGCGGAATGCTCGCTGCGGTAGACGCGGACCGCATGTAGGCGCTCCCCCCTTGCGCGTGTAGACCCGTTCCATCGTCGTCTTGCTAAGTGTTCTTGCTTGCCTTGCTTGTATCGGTTGCCTAAGCTACTACTGCTTGTTGTTCCCCCTTGCCATCCCTAACGCGCGGCCGAAGGCCGCCGGCGCGAAGCGCCGAAATTTTCAGCACTAACTGAAAGAATGAGAGATGGAAAGGCCGCCGTGGCCTTAAGTACTCATGGCAGAGGGCAGAAAGCAGAGGGCAGAGGGTAGAAGGGGAGAGGCTAATCCTCTCTCTCTCTCTCTCTCTCTCTCTCTCTCTCTCTCTCTCAAGCGGTCCGTGTAAACCCATTGCTAATCCTCTCTCTCTCTCTCTCTCTCTCTCTCTCTCTCTCTCTCTCTCTCTCTCTCTCTCTCTCTCTCTCTCTCTCTCTCTCTCTCTCTCCCTGCAGTGACCTGAGCAACAACCGTCTGCATGGAACCCTCCCCACTCAATTCACCGGCCTTGTCCGCCTCACTCTCCTGTGCGTCCATCCCCACATCATCCCATCCACTCTCCTCCATTTCCTTCCATTATCCCTCCTCTCCTGCACGTCCTCCCACCATTCCATATTTTCTGTGTGTCCTCCCCTTTGTTGGATATTACGCCCATGCTCACGAACATGTTACATTTACGTTTCCGTACGTTTATGCACGAGGTTCTGGAATGGGTTTACGTTTGCGGGTAATTTTGTTTTCTTTAGCTGCCCGGCTTGTACCGATAGTGAAATTTTCCAGGGGATTAGAATGTGGCAGTATCTCTGTACATGATAATCTCTACACACAAAGACACTCAGGCATAATAAAGTAACGCACGTTACTTTGGTGTGGAGTACGAATCCAACTCGTGGTTTGCCCCTAATTTCATGCGATAGCGTGTCAGTCAATGCCCCCCCCCCCCCATTAATATGTTTAGTTCGATTCGACCTCCCTATCCATGCGTATTCCAGTAATGTGACGTACGCGAGACTCAGAAGGCTACACTCGATGTTAGAGCTACATAGATCGACGACCAATGTAGCTATTCAGATTTATGATGTAGTCCGAGGACCTAGAACCCGTAATTGAGACTTCTTAGGTGTGACCTAAACTATCAGCAGCCTGTATGCGCCCTGAACAGTTCTGCAGTGCAGCGACATTCCTCTCCAGGGAAAAATACGCGGGCTTTGTTTTTTTTTTTTTGTGTTGTTGTTTTTTTTTTTTTTTTTTTTCACCGTTCCGGTTCCGGATCCAAGTTATGTGTGTTTACCGTACATAGGGTCCAGGGACATAAGAACCCATCTTAGGTAGGAGGGCTGGCTGTCTGTAAACATGGGCATCGGCATGAGCAAAACCAGATATTTTAGGACCTCTAATCATCTCCCAACCCGGCCCTGGAGGTCAATAAATTGGACCAATATAGGGTTTCCGATTCCAATTACGAATCTCACTAGTTGTACACCCAATTTATGTTGGATGCTTAATTGCTCAAAGTAGTTTAGTATACTATGCAAGATATAAGAGGAAAGACATTCTGACAATCCTGAGGCATTTTTTAAAATTTCCCTTTGTCCTCCCTCCTCCCTTCCTTCCTCACTAACCCCTTCCACACAATTCCCACCCCGCTCACAGCAACCTGCGCAACAACCAGCTGACAGGCCCCATACTGCAGCCCATCCCAGCATCCCTCACCTCCTACAATCTCGATCTCAACTACTTCTCCTCAGGCTTCTCCTCCCCGCCTAACTGCTCCCAAGGCGCCATCTCCTTCCGCTTCAACTGCCTCCAAACCCAAGGCTTCTCCTGCCCCACTCCTGCCACGCCCTCTGCTGCGGATGCAGCGGTGCAGCGGCCGGAGGAACTCTGTAATGCCTTCTGTGGCGTGAGTGCTGCCGATCCCCCATGCAGCGGGCATGGCTCGTGCTATGCGGCCGGCCCAAACAAAGTACCCACGTGTAACTGCGATTCCGGATTTGTCAACGGGGAGCTTCCTGGAAGCTGCGTTCCTGAAGGAAGTGAGTGCAGTAGGGGGAGGGCGAGAGGAATGATAGGGAGGAGGGGAGGGAGTGATGAGAGGAGAGTGATGAGATGAGGCAAGTGAGGGGTGATGAGGGGGACCATGCGAGTGCGACTAATGGAGTGTGGGCATAGTATCTAGCAAGCAAGCCTCCTTCTCTTCCCATCGCAGCTCTTAACTCCCCGCCCTGACTTACCACTGCCCAGTTCACCTGTGCTGCACGTGCCCTCCTGTCACTTCACCCACTGCACGCTGCTTTTTGTCCACTCGCTCCCTGCCCTCACCCTCCCGTCCTCCAGGCCTCCGAAGCACCTATGTTTGCCTTCCCCACCTCATCTGCCCTTGCCCGTCGCATTCCTCTGTCCTTTCTGCCCCGTTGCTCACCTGCCTTTCCCCACCTCATCTGCCCTTACCCACGCTCTCCGCCAGGCGTGCCAGGTGACCCAGTGGACATTGTGCCAACAGCAGCACAGACAGCAGTCAAAGGGCAAGCAGCAGTGGCAAGCAATGGGCGCATCACGCTCACAGCCTCTCAGCCCAACACGTGGGGCGCAGCGTTTTTCCAACTCCCCGTCTCGCTCTTCTCCTTTTCCCTCAAAGCCGGTGCCTGCGGTCGCCCCTTCGCCTTCACCGTCTATTTCTCCTTCTCCATTCTCAAGCCTACCACAGCCAACGCTGCTGCAGAAACAGGGGACGGGTTTGCGTTTGTGATTGCAGCGAGTGACACTGTAACAGGCGGTAGCAGCGGCAGTAGCGACGGCAGTGGTGGCGGCGGCAGCTTGGGGTATGCAGGCATGGATGAGCGCAGCATAGCCGTGGAGTTTGACACTTCTAAGAGCACTGATGCCAATGACCCAGACAGAAACCACGTGGGGCTCAGTGTCAAGGGAAAAACCACCTCCATCGCAACAGCCAAAGCAGGCCTTACTCTCAACGACGGCACTCCAAAACACGCCTGGGTTGTCTTTGATCCCTCTCCTTCCTCCTCCTCTACTTCCACCACAGCTGCCAACGCCGCTATTGCTAAGGGCACGGGGTCACTGCAAGTGTTCCTCTCGGCCAAGGCATCCCCCCAACCGAGCAAGGCAGTGCTGTCGGTGCAGGTGTCCCTGTGCCATTACCTCAAGCCCACCAAACAGGAGGATTCGTTCCTCATGGGATTCACTGCTTCTGCCTCTGACTCCCCACAGCAGCACTCCATCCTCGCCTGGACCATCAACGCAGGTATTTTCTTGCTGCTCCACTCCCTGCTCCCTGCTTACATGTCCTTTGCTGGTCACATCTCCATTACTTGCCCAGGTGGCACAACAAAAGCTATCCTCTTACCAGCCTCACCTCTCTTCTCAGTGCTTTCTTTTCTCTCCTCTCTCCTTCCATCATCCCTTCTATCCAGGCCTGCCAGAAACAACCACTCTCAAAGGTATGGACGATCTGTACTGACTAGAATTTTATTGGCTTGACCCAATCAGGCTTCCTTTCCGGTTTGTTCTTCCTTTTTTTTTTGGCTTCCTTTATTGGCTTGAACTTCTTCTTTTCAAGTCTCCAATCGCCCAGCTGTGCTTCCAGTCCTCTGCTCAATCTTTGAGCCGGCATTCTCCATAAATTCCTCGCACAATCCCTCCTTTTTAGACGTCGCAAAAGCATTTTCCCTATATTCTCCACTGCACTAGACCTGAGCTGGGTACCAAACTGAACCGATTCGGTTTTATACTCTTTAAAACCAAACCAGTTTGTTACCAAACCGAACTGGTTCATGAACGAACCGGTTTAGCATAGAGCTGGTTCGTGGTTCGTCATACAAGGCAACAAACCGAACAAACGAGTTCGGCCGAACCGGGTCGGTTCGGTTCGCCAGCCAGGGCCCTTTCACTATGGTTACCACAAGCTGAAACCGAAAAACGAACTGTGGGCAACACACCAATGCTAGGTGGAAGGGGGCGAAGTAGACAATGAGAGAGTTGGAGCTCGAAATGAGCTTCAACTCTCTGATTTTTAGTCTTACATTCGAACTGGTTCGAGGCGGCGCGGCTTGGCTGATTGTTGCAAACGAACCGGCCATACCGACGAGAACCGGTTCGGAAACGAACTGGCCGCCCAAAAAAACGGTTTGGTTCTGGTAAAAAAAAACCGAATTGAACTGCGATTCGTTTTGCTGCTCATGCCTACACTGCTCTGTTACTATGACCTGTTGAATGGTAGCATTCCTGGTTACTGGAAACACTGGTATTTATCTTTAGTGTGCAAGCAAGATGTAGCCCAACCCTTCATTCCTTTTATCGAATCCTTAGTTGGTACTTTACGTCCATACGGGTCACGTCAATGTACATTTACGCTTACCTTTACGTTTACGTTTCCGTACGCGTAATTTTACGTGAACTCGAACGTGCAGCTGAAAAAAAAAAAAGGGACCTGGAATTTCTGCATGCAAGATCGACAACCAAAGATTCTGTCTTATTACGCGAATGACGACTGCATTACAATGCGGATATTTGGACGGACTAAGCTTGCGTTAGGTACTGGGTACAACGGACAGGATCTAAGCCTTGCTGGGTCGCGCGACTAAGTCTATTAGGAAACTAGACTTCTAGGTTACGGATGACGGGAGGATGACTTGGAAGTCTGCTTTACGAAATAGCCGTGCATAGGATAGTTGCGATGCGTGGGGTATGAGTGGTTTGTTGAGTCAACTGTTTGGGATTTTGACGAACATGCGGATCTGTCGCAAAGCTGAAAACGAATCGAGTCAACGGAAACGTTTTTCGCCAACTATGCCAATCTGCCGAAATGTTCCGTGAAACCAACAAACGCGTTTCCATCACCAACACCTTCGTGCACACCTTCTACGCACACGGAAATGTGTGGACTCGTTACAAAATTGGGACCTTTTCTGCAGCACACCTTTCCGGGCAGGCTGAAAGGTTTTTGTGCTGACCGTAAACCCCTATCAGGCAAGCATACGTAAACGTAAGTTTACTTCGTTAAGTTGCGTAAACGTGAACCAGCGTTATCATACAATTCCAACTAAGATCGAATCGCATTGTATGCAGTCCTGATTTTCATTTTTGCATTTCAGCCCGTCTTGCATCTCGTGTACTTCTGTTCGAAGCCTTATCTGCATTAAGAGTATTGCCACCTTAAAATCCACCTCGAATTCTTCCTTTGTCATCCTCCCTCTCCTACCCCACCCCTACCCTACCCAACCCTACACTACACTCTCCTCCTCCCCCCAGACCAGCAGTTTGGGTTCCAATTAAGCGAGGCATCCCTAAAGCCAGTGGGGGCTAACCCTTTCTTCCGCTATGCCAGTGGGGGCGTGCAGCCTCTGCAGGCGCCAGCAGCAGGAGGAGGGGAGGACGAGGAGGTGTGGGTTGTGAGCCAGGCGTTCTCCTGGGCCGACCTGAGTTTGCCTTGGCCCGTTAAAAACCAGGGTCCCTGCGGTGAGCATGTGCTCATGGGGGTGGGGTGCGGTGGGAAGGGACGGGATGGGAGACGGTGTAGTGGATGGCAAGGTGGAAAAAAACGGTTGCGGTAAAAAACGATTGAAAAGAACGATCGTTTTTTACTGTCAAGTTTGGGAAAAAACGTCGTTTTTTTGTTAGGCCCAAAAAAAAATTCAGAAAAAAAAAAACCAACCTTACAAATCCCCAGCCACCAACACTCTCTGGCAAGTCAGTGCTGATAAGTTTTCTAGCCTGATTGCAATTAAAATAAAATATAGAAAGGTCGTTACAGCTCATCACTCTCTATCTAACACCATCGATGTCACTAAAGTCCCATGCGTTGGACCCCCCCCCCCTCCTCCTCCTCCTCCTCCTCCTCCTCATCCTCCTCCTCCTCCTCCTCCTCCTCCTCCTCCTCCTCCTCCTCCTCCTCCTCCTTGACATTCGTGTTTCGCACATGCACGAATTCATTTTTAAGGGTGCACGAAGTGGCCTCGAGGCTTTGCGAAATCAGCGAGAGCAGGGAAGCGAAGTGTTGGCATGCCGCGCCTCGAACGTGGGTCTAAATTTCTGACCCACGATTCCTCTCTGTACTGGGTGGATTCACTTCAACCCACATGCCTGTGCTCCCTCATGAATCCTCCCGCTACCTCTCCCCTTGTGTTGCTCGTGTATAGAGTGAAACCCTTCACTGCGAGTTGTGCGTTATCCGGAGATAATTGCAACTGTAAATTGTGGTACGAAATTTACGATCGTAAAAAACGATCGTTTTTTTCCACCAAAAAAGGACTAATCAATATTTTCGTTTTATTCCGTTTTATACGATCGAAAATTACTATATCGAAAAAAACGACAAAAAAAATGAAAAAAAACGTCGTTTTTTTGCACCTTGGTGGATGGGATGGGAAGGGATGGGAATGGCTTACTAGGGTGGAGGGTGGTTGGAGGGGGAGGGAAGGGGGTGAGAGGAAAGGAGGGACGCTGTGTGGTGAGAATGTACTATGGTGACTGGAGTGGATGGTTCCATACTTTCCTATTCTCCCCTTCACCTTCCCTCTTCCCGTTCCCCTTCCCTTTCCTCTTCCGTCTTCCCCATCCCCCGAGATCCCTTCCCTCTTCCCTCTTCCCACATACTGTGCGTATGTGGCGACAGGCTGCATCGAAGCAACCTACAGGATCGTCTCCCATTCCCCACTCCCCACCCCTCCCCTCTCCCCATTCACCACCTGTCCCCACTCCGCACTCCCCACTCCCCACCCCTTTCAGCCGGCTGCTGGGTGTACGCTGTGGTGTGCTGTGCAGCATAGAATTGGCCTACGGCATCCTCTCCTGTTCATCTCACCTCTTCAACCTCTCCACTCTTTCCATTGCTCGCCTCGCCCCTCCTAGGCGACTGCTGGGCGTACGCGGTGGTGGGCAGCATAGAAATGGCCTACAGCATTCTCTCCAACCTCTCCGCCGTGCCGCTCCTCTCCGTCTCCCAGCTGCGTGAAGCCCTCGGCTCCTCATGCTCGCAGGGCAACTCGCCCTCCCAGGCCTTCCAGTATCTCATCACCCTCAATGCCAAGAGCAACATTGGGCTGACGGAGGAAGGGAAGGGGGGGGCGGTGGTTAGCGGGGGCGGGGGAAATAAGAAAGGCAGCACGAGCCCAAGTCCGCTCTGTGGAATTCCTGTCTTTGCTCAGCTTGTGAAAGTGCTTGGGATCTCGTGTGGTGGTCCACGCCGCACCACTGGGTCGGTAGGTTACAGTTCTTATCCTGATTTGTTTCTTTCTTTCTTTCCGTTTGCTGTTTTTGTACGTTGACCTGATCTAAAGACCTGTTCGTATGTGTGTGGGGAAAAAAAAAAAAAAAAAAAAAAAAAAAGGTCCTCGTGATCCTTGCTTTCACGGATTTGGGGGAGTTGACTATTCTAACATACAAAGTTGACAATGCGTTGATCATGAAAAGAAAGAAAGAAAAGCAACTTCTACTTGGGTACAGAGATCGTAAGCAATTGGACTGCTCACACACAGACACACACCATAGAAAAGGCTGTTATGAATAGTGATTTTTTCTTGCATACTGCTTGCTCCCCCTTCCTTGTTGTCCTCTTCCCTTCCTCACATGCCTCACCACTCATAACTCTCCTCCTCTACCCCTCCCCACCTACCCCTCCTCCCCTGCCCCACGGCAGAGCAAGCCATCGGGGGGGCCGTTCAGAGTGAACGGGTTTGAGCGCACGGCGTTCCATGGCTGGTTTGGGCTGCTGCTGGCAGTGCAGCGACAGCCCGTGGTGGTGCATGTGCAGGCCACCGCCCCCTCCTTCCTCAACTACGATGGGGTGAGCATGAGTGGACATGGAGCGAGGTGGGTGCTCCATCTGAATCACAACAGGGTGCTCCACTCACAATCATGCACGCCCGCCTGGCTGCACGCTCGCCCGCCCGCACGCGACCTGGCACGCACGCACTTGCATGCCCTGCACTTGTGCCTTGCTAAATCATGACAGGCAGGTCCTAAATGGTTCGGCAAGGGAGATAAACCCTAAGCAGACCCCTCTCTAACTCCCCTCCTTGTTTCCCCCCCAGCTATCCAAGTACGCGGACCCAGAATGCTTCACATACAACCTGAACCACGTGGTGCTGCTGGTGGGCTATCGCCTCACCGGCTCAGACCCCACATTCCCACACATGGCACCGCCCTTCTGGATCATCCGCAACTCATGGGGCGCACAGTGGGGTGATGGCGGGTACATGCGGATGGACATCCAGGGGGGCGATGGCGTGTGTGGGATCAACACGCTGCCTGGGATCTACCCGGTGGTGCGCGCTGCTGCCGACCCCTGCAACGTCAACAGCACGAGCAAGGAGGAGTTTGGGTCGCTGTTCAACCCATGTGGCAACTTCACATGCGCTGTTGATGGAAGCAGCAACCGCTGCGATTGCAACGACCCGCGGTTTATCGAGGCTCGCAATCCTGACAACACACGTACTTGTGCTTACAGTGAGCATTCTTATTCTCTTCTTTCTTTTCATTGCGGATGTGCACGACCATAATCCACTAGGCTATCCTTGTTAGTATCTTTTTCCCAGAACCTTAGGTCGATCGTAGTGCTCCTCCAACACATTCCCTCATAGAGGTAAAGTTTGAATCACAGGCTACTTTCGAAGCACACAACAGAGTTCGAGCTCATAATATTTGGCTCTATTGCCATGTAGTTTAAACTTGGTGCTAACCACTGAACTAAAATGGCTTGCTTCTTTGTGGGTGAGAACGAGCATAACCTTCAAGCTGGAGATGGGCGACGCAACGAGTTTCTTAATTGCCTCGTTTTGGGCGAGTGTCAGGGTGCAAGTAAACATGCACTTGCTGTTTAATCATTAAATAAATGAGTAAGAGAGCACTCATCGTGAGATGAAAAATACTCACTACTAGTTTTTGTTTATTCGTCGCAACATGACCCCCATGTAATGTTTTGCGGGGCTTCAAGTCTGATAAGAAGGTCAAAACCATCATTACTTGGCTCATCAATTCGCGAATCTGCATGACAAACTGTTGCTATTGTGGACAGTTGGCGCGACGTGCACCTTCGCGTGCACGGCGCAGATTCCAAGTGGGCCACGTGCCGTTAATTGCGCCTGATGAGCCACGTCGACCTCAGTATACCAGTCCGAGGTCGGCTTCGCCAGAACCTCTTGGGCGACGGACGCGCACTCCGCAGAACCTCGTCGCCCCGGTAACTTGGTCGACTGAGAAACCGCCAAGTCGGCGTTGGGCGGTTGGAACCTGTCAATTGCTGTACCTTCTCGACGACCTCCCAGGTCGACACTCGTCCGCTGAATTCACCAACTTGGCAACTCCGCAGGTTGATGAACGCCTTCGTCGACCACACCAGCTGTTTGTCGACTCCTCCAAGTCGGCGTCCCCAGGTCGACGACCTCCCTCGACGACTGCCACCCAAGGGTGACGACCAGGCAGGTTGACAAACCCCTTCGTCAACTGTGCCAGTCAAAGTCGGCCGCCGACTTCCCGTCGTTGGCGTCGTCACATTGGTCCCGAGTAGGTGGACCAATTTCGTCGACCTGCGCACTCAAGTCGGCTGCACCTCTAGCGCACCCGACCACGAAGTCGGCTTCGTCCAAGCGAGGGCAGGTCCAACTCCTGTCAGCACTCCCCTGCCGCGCTCACGCTTTTACACCCCATACTAGGGCCGCTCAGAACCCAAGGGATGGAACACAGTGAGAAAACGCATCGTCGGCGTGCACAGAACACACAGCACGCCGCCACCGCACTAGCCGTGCAGAAGAGCACAGCACCTACTGCTGCACGTCGTCGTCACCGTCGCTGACGTTGGCCAGACGCACTTGGCCGAGGCGACGGAGCACCAGTTGAAGGCCGGAAAGTGCAGCGCCTTCGTCATGCAGTCGGCCGGCTGCTCATCGATCAGGATGTACCGCAGGGCGATCTTCCCACGCTTCGCCATCTGCTGCAGTCAGGCGTAGCGTCGACAAGGAAATTATGAGACAGAGACAATGCTCATTGGCCATGATATCTCTTGTCGTAACGCTATCGGTCGGACGATGATCGTCGGACAATGCTGGTCGTAACGCTTCGCATTCAATTGTGAAAGTGCTCTAGTGCCCTTAATTGATTACCCAATTGATAGTTATCTCTACAAGCACGGACCCTTGGTTAAGGAATGGTTTTATCAGGCACCCGATGACCCGTGGAAGTGAACGCGTGATCTTTATCTGTGCTAGTTAATTGCTGTGCATAGAGGGTACTTGGTCTCAAGTTTTCTACATCTAATCCTTCTAACTGAATTAAATCCTACTCTCTCTACCGAACCCAATCACTCCACCTTACCGCTGTGAAGAAGATCCGGATCTCTCCTTACCCACCCTGTTGCGACATATTTTCTGATCGCTCTAGCAATCTACCGTTCCAAGATCACGGATTTTTTTTAACACTCTCCTTAGTCCTCCCTTTCCCAAGTCGACATGAGGGAAGGCGCGGTTGAATATTTTCTTTTGCGAACTTGAGTTACCTAGGAGATGCTCCCGGCGAGGCGAGTTTTTGCGGATTACGTGCGTTGCTGCGACATTTTTTACTCGTAACAAGTTCAAAAACCCGTCTTCTTGCACAAGATGCGATTTTGGCGAGGGCAAAATTTCTCGTAGCGAGTAATACTCGCCTCGCCCCATTACTCAAAAGAGGCAGCAAAAATCGAGGCAAGTATTACTCGCCTCGCCTTTTGCCCATGCCTATCCCAGGTCATCCTTCCATCATCCATGTATCCCTTCCCAAATCCTTAAGCTGATTTCATTGCTCCTCCACTAGTGAGTGCTCTCTCATTTTGGGTGTTGTGTGAGTCGTGTGCTGTTCTACTCACATGTCTCGGGTGCTGCTGCTCTATCTTGATGTGCTGCTCCTCTCGTGTATGTATTGCACGTGAGTCTTGTCTGACATGCATGTGACCCTTTATTCCTGCCACCTGTTGCTACCAATTAGTGCCTTGGTCAGGATAAACGAAGGTGTTATCCGTCCAAGCAAGCTTGTACCTTACACTTTCTTCTCAATCTCATGTGTTGAGAGGTGCACACCAGACCATGCGTTTGATTTGATAAGTCTCAGCCACAAGCTCTCAGTCTCCTCAAAGCATGATCGCCTTGGCTATCTCCCTCTCTTACCTCTTGTTTTGTTCACCAGAGGATGCATGCAGGGCGGCGGTGCGCAATCCGTGTGCAGTGGGCACATGTGTGAATGATGGCAAGGGGTCGTACTCGTGTGTGTGCCCTCCGGGTTTCAGGCAGGGCACCACCGTAGATGGCACCTTCTCCTGTGGTCCAGGTAACCTTCACCTGTGCTGCAGGAAACCTTCCCTTTGCTGCAGGCAGCATTCGTTTCTTGCACTCCAGATGCCTCTCTTGTACTGAAGTTTAAAGGCATCCTCTCTTTTTCACAGTATGCTACCACCAAGTGTGGAATTTCACATTTCAATGCTTCACTATGCAACCACCAAACTGTTTTCGAGGCATCTTAAACCCGACACGTGTTTCTCATCTCTTATTCATGCTATGTTACCACCAACAAACCATAGCCTTTCACATTCCATGTCGCAACAAAGAATTTTGTAAAGGCCTGTTGTTCATCATAATTACCCCCCACACACCACAATCTCCTCCATGTCCTCTCAAATCCATTACCCATTCGCACCGGCCCACACCCATCTACACCACGCTGCACCGCACTGCACAGGCGACTCCAGCAGCAAGTACACGGTGGTGTTGGAGGGACTCACGTGTGCCGACATCCACCCCGTGTATGGGCTCACTCTCGCCCAGCTGCAGACTCAGAACTCGGTGAGCCACAGCTGGCAGTTACTCACTCAGAATCCAGTGTGGTCTCTCTTTCCTGCTGCGTGTAGACAAAGCCCTTTCAGACTGGCTTGCTGCTTTGAACGTGCTGCTAGCAGCAGTTCCAATCTCCGAAACCCATGCGGACAGTTTTACGACCAGAGCATGGAGGGCCCTTGCTTTCCTGCTTCTTCTTCAGCTTCCGTGCGGCATCCCTGCTAAGCCTCTGCTTTCCCGCTTCCTCTTCACATTCTTTAGAAGATTCTTCTTGAATTGTGGCCGTCTGAACTTACCCCACCACACGCACCACACCCGCCGCTTCCCCTCCAGGGTCTGAGCTGCAGTGCTCCTCTCGCTGTCGGCACGGTGGTGAACGTGGTCCAGCCAGCCGACCTCACGCCCTGCTCCGTCTACTACACCACGTCCCAGGTCGCCCCCCTCCTCTCTCCCTGCCTGCCTGCTTTCCTCCATCCATCCCTCCTCCCTCCCTCCTGCCCTCCGTCCCTCCCTCCCTACCTCCCTCCTTCCAATTTTCCTACACTGTCTCCTTATCCAGAAGACTCCCTGCATAATCCGCTTTTGAGTCGACTCAAAAGCCTACACTGTCTCCTTATCCACCAGACTCCCTGCGTAAACCCAACCCTCACATCCGTGCTTCTCCTTCCCGTGTTCCCCTCTCACCCTCCCCCTGTCCCCTGCTCTCTTGTCTCCTCTCATCATTTCTTCACCTCCCCTTCTCATCCTTCCCTCCCCTTCCCCCCCTCCCCACCCCTCGCTCCCATCCCCCCAGGGCGACACATGCGAGTCACTAGCCACCTACTTCTCTCTCACAGCCGGCTGCCCCACTCCCACCGAGCCCTGCGCAGAGGCCTTCCAGACGCTCAACCCTGGGCTGGACTGCTCCGGCAGCGGGGAGCTGGTGGGCAGCCAGGCGGTGTGTGTGGAGCGGCGGGCGGAGAGTGCAGCGGCGCTGCTCATCCCGGTGTGCTCGCAGTTCTATCTGGTGCAGGCCAGGGAGACGTGCGACCAGATCCGCTCCGTGCCCTCCCCGCCGCTCTCCCCTCTCGAGTTTTTCCGCCTCAACCCCGGCATCAAGTGCAGCCGCCTCGTGCCCAAGACTGACGTCGGCAGCCTCACAGGCTTCGAGGTCTCCCTCTGCTCTCCTCTTTCTCCCCACTACCCTCTCCCCTGCTTTATCCTCTCCTCCCGTCTTCGCCCTCCCCCCACTCGTATGTGCCCTCTCCTCTTGCCTCTCGTTTTCCCAAATCCTGCTAAAAGTTCCTAGGTTTCCCACCTAGTTTCACCCACAGCCATGCCGGTTCCATGCAGTTCCATGACATTTAGTGTTTGTTTTGCGTCGCTGGTGTTTCTATTTCGGTCTCCACTTCAAACCTGTAGATCACACTGCAAAACACACCTGCAGTCCGCACTTGCAGTTCACACTTGGCTCTCTAACCCCCTCTCACCCCCTCCCTCCGCCCTCTTCCCCCCTTCTCCCCACGCACACCCAACTGCATGACAATCGTAGGCGTGCATAGGCAGCTCATTCAGCTTCACGCAAGGAGTGTGCCCCAAGACTCGTGCGTACGTGGTTGGGACTGGCGACCGCTGCACTGGCCTGCAGGTCAAGTACTTCCGTGGAATCAAAGGGTGCTACAGGAAGACCAACGGCTACGATTGCATCGATAAGCTCGTCAAATCCACTAGAGTGTGCATTCCGGACCAAGTCAAGATCAAGGCTGGGAAATGCGAACCTTGACTCATGATCTCCTGGTCGTAAGATGACGAAGGGCTATTTCTATCAGTGTAAATTACCCCGGTACGCTTATTATCAGCTTGGTTGGTTTTGCTGGTCACACTACACAAATATAAATGTGTATACATGTATATAACACATTTTCCCTGATCTGTCAGGGTAATGATTGAAGCCACACTTTTGGTTCAGTGTAAATGCATGATTTACCCTGAACAATGTACAAGGCCTTGATCCCCTCCCTCAACCCTCCCTCCCCCCCTCCTCACCCATGCCATATGGAGCATGACTCTTGAAAATTTTGCCACTTTTGGAAATGTGTTGGCGTAGGTCTTCTTTGTGGTTGGTTTGTTTTACTAGCGTGCCCGTGAGCAGCCCGCCAGCGCACACAGCAACACGCACTTTAGCGCGCCCAGCAGACTGCGCGCCAGCGCGCATAGCAGTAATTGAGACTAGCTTCAATGAGTTTGAGAACCTCCTTTCCTCCTTCACCTCTGCTATCGGTCCAGTCGTCCCCCACCCCCTTGAGGGGTGCGCTCTGCCCCAGCTCCCCACCTCTACAGCGTCTCTTGCTACTGCCGAGTCTCTAGCTACTAGGGAGATTGCAGCTGTTGTGGTGGGCAGAGACGTGGTAAGGGAGGTAAGAAGGGCGGGAAGGGTGGCGGAGGTGGAGGAGGTGGGGGTCCTCGTGCGCCTGGGGGAACCAACATTGGAGGCAGTACCAGGCTGCTGGTCCGCACAGAGGAGACGCTGGTCCTGGGGGTGTGGCGAGGACACTGCAGCAGCAGCTGCAGCACCAACCAGTGCAGCAGCGGCAGCCTTCGCAAGCAGCAGCAAGTGCAGCAGCAGCAGGTACAGCAGCAGCAGCTTCCCTTTGATCCCACCAACTTCTCAAATTCTTTGCCTTGAACCATCGTTCTGGCCGCATGTCTCTCCCCGCTCTCTTGTAGATCATACAAACGTGCAAAGAGTGAGTTGTTCTTGAGGTAGCTCAAATATTCGCATAATTTTAAGCTATGACGTGTTGGAGCGATCTGTTCTTCATGCGCTCCGGTTGACCTGCGATGCATCTCTCATACGTTGTGATGTGTGTAGGTTCCCTAAATAAATCTGTGTGACTGGTTGCCATTTCAAAGTTCTTTGAGACATGTCAAGCTATGCTGGTATATGGGGGTGTGTGTGTGTGTGTGTGTGTGTGTGTATTTGTGTGATATATGTATTTTTGTGTATGTGTGTGTGTGTGTGCGTATGCGTGTGTGTGTGTATGTATGTGTGTATATGTGTGTGTGTAAGAGAGAGAGAGAGAGAGAGAGAGAGAGAGAGAGAGAGGGAGAGAGAGAGGGATGTATGTGTGTGCGTATGGGCGTGTGCGTGCGGGTGCGTGTCTGTGTGTATTTGTGTTTGATGCTCCAGTTGTATGCGTGCTGTACCTTCCTCGCATACGTACTACCACCTCCTGCTGCTCTTGTTTATTCTTTTGTGTTGACTACTATTGAGATCTGGAAGCTACTATGCACACCTTTAATTCACACTTAACAGTCCCCACGGGGTCACCTCCAAGGGTCCTTGGGTGCCTGGCAAGGCCAGCCCCTAACCAAGGGTCCGTGTGTTGTAGAGGGACACGCCAAGTATGAAAACGATCATGTGCAATAGAGCATTCTCAGAACTCCTTGCGCAGCGTTATGACGACGAACTGGTCGTGTGCAGAAAGTTCTCTTCACGTCAATACGATGATAGAGAATAACTTCACTCAAAAGGATTGATTACAACTGAACACAAGCACGCATTTATATTTCGCCTAGCACACAAGCATAAGAAAGCACAAAGCAGTTGTTTAACTATACTTCAGGACTTCGCCAGATGCGCCAAGGAAAACGGTTGTCGAACTGCTTCGGAATTTGGCTTGGTTCTCCCCTGTAGAATAACTGTCTTCAAATTTCATGTCTGCCAAATTCCCCTGCTGACTCCCCTCGTGAACGTTCGCGACTTCTCGTGCGCAATCATAAACGCTCGTGTGAGATTACCGTTTTCACGAAGTCTCACAGTTGAAAAACGGCTTTCACCGTTTTTCTCCTGTATCGAAATTGTCCCTTTACGCGCGCGATCTTTCCAGCGAAGTTACCTGTAAGTCGAGTCAACGCGGGATACGGTTTTTCAACCGTAATCCCGAGCACCCCCACGGCTGCAATCATGCACGACCGATATTTCGGCTGCGCTGTACTACGCGTGGGCAGGGCGATCATTCGCCCTGTCCTGTTGCGATCGTGGGCCATGCCACGCTCGCAACAGTGCGAAGGCACAAGCGCGGGCCTGAGGGCCCACACGCGCGATCATGACCCCACGCACGGGTCCCGATTTCCTCGCGCTGTTGACCTTGACCATCGCGAGAATTCTAAGGGTCAACATTGACCCCTCGTGAACACCCACGATACTTCATGAGCACACACGAAAACAGAAAAACGAAAACTAACATGAACACTCACAAACATTCATGAACAGCGCACAGACTTCACGGAATTTCACGAACACAGTCACGAACACAGAAATTCACGAACACAGAATTAACACACGCTTATGAAAACTCGCGAAGCAACGCAAACGCACACGAAGTCTCGCATTCACACACGGACCTTCACGAACACTCAGGAACGCAACCTTTCACGGGAACTCACATAACTCATGAACCGTTGAGCCGATTCACGAGCCGTAAACACAGAAACGTGAAGCACATAAATGCACAACTCACACACAACAAATTACCTTGAGACGAAACACCTCACTTTCACTCTATGTCGACACATAGGCGGTAGGTTGTCGTGCAAACTATGTATTGCACTCAACATTTTGTTGCAACCCATACATGCCCTATACATGCACTGGTTTCTCTTCTTCCATTTTCCCACCTGTACTTTTTCCAACCTCCTCTATTTCATAACCTTAGTCTTGCCCTCCTTCAACGCCCCCATCTTCCTCTTCCTTCCTTCCTCATCTTCCTTACACATGTGGAGCTTGATTCATTGGGGTATAGAGTTCTCTCAGTCTCCTAGCTCCCTTTCCCTCCTTGCCATCACCCTCTTCATGGTGCTCGCCCACCCAACCACTCAACTCCACTCTACTAGTACCCATGTCATCATATTTGCAGTTTTGTCCACATTTTTAACCAACCAACACACTCAATTGTATCGATAAATATGTAATTTTGATTATGCTAGTGCGATGAAGCATTGCAGACGCATGGATGTGCAAAATGCCCCACATGATTTTTAAATTTGTCTGACCATCTAGGAAAATTGTGTCAAACTTATATGCTATGGTCTATCTAGGCTGTAGTGGGGTAGACACTATAGGGTACAACATTTCTAGGTTTCCTACTTGTACCCACCTTCTTGCCAGTTCATTCATTCCTCATTTCTTCACATGGTATAGAGCAGGTTCCCTAGTGGGAACGTTTCCTAGGGCCCACCGAAAATTCGAATTTTTTTCCTGCCCGAGTCGCGCCCCGCGTCCCCTGCCCTTAGTGGCCCCTTAGCCGCTCCCTCGCGGCCCCTCTCACGGCCCCTCGCGGCCCCTTAGCCGCTCCCTAGCGGCCCCACTCACGGCCCCTCGCGGCCCCTCTATCACGGCCCCTCGCGGCCCCTTAGCTGCTCCCTCGCGGCCCCTCTCACAGCCCCTAGCGGCCGTTCGCGGCCCCTCGCGGCCCCTCCACGGCCGTTCGCGGCCCCTCGCGGCCCCTCCGCGGCCGTTCGCGGCCCCCTCGCGGCCCCTCCGCGGCCGTTCGCGGCCCCTCGCGGCCCCTTAGCCGCCCCCTCGCGGCCCCTCTCGCGGCCCCTCCGCGGCCGTTCGCGGCCCCTCGCGGCCCCTCCGCGGCCGTTCGCGGCCCCTCGCGGCCCCTCTCGCGGCCCCTCCGCGGCCGTACGCGGCCCCTCGCGGCCCCTCTCCCGGCCCCTCGCGGCCCCTCTCACGGCCCCTCGCGGCCCTGTCGCGGCCCCTTGCGGCCCCTCGTGGCTCGTCGCGGCCCCTCCGCGGCTCCCTCGCGGCCCCGTTGCGGCTCCCTCGTCGCCCCTGCCCGTCGCGGCGCCCTGCCCTAACCCGCGCTCTGGAGCAGCCGCCACTGCAGCAGCCGCCCCTGGAGCAGCCGCCACTGCAGCAGCCGCCCCTGGCGCAGCCGCCACTACAGCAGCCGCCCCTGGAGCAGCCGCCCCTGCAGCAGCCGCCCCTGGAGCAGCCGCCACTGCAGCAGCCGCCCCTGGAGCAGCCGCCCCTGCAGCAGCCGCCCCTGGAGCAGCCGCCACTGCAGCAGCCGCCCCTGGAGCAGCCGCCCCTGCAGCAGCCGCCCCTGGAGCAGCCGCCACTGCAGCAGCCGCCCCTGGAGCAGCCGCCCCTGCAGCAGCCGCCCCGGGAGCAGCCGCCACTGCAGCAGCCGCCCCTGGAGCAGCCGCCACTGCAGCAGCCGCCCCTGGCGCAGCCGCCACTGCAGCAGCCGCCCCTGGAGCAGCCGCCCCTGCAGCAGCCGCCCCTGGAGCAGCCGCCAC